AAAAGAAATCTGTCTACTGATGGGGATGTAAATTAGCAAAGACCAAAAGGCACATTAAGAACCCTTGAAATAAAGAAGTGAAGCTTTGCCTGGGGTTATGAATACTTATCAGCACAAGGTAATTACAGCATTAACAAGCTAGAGGCAGAACACATTTCCTCAAACACTGTGTGCATACAAGAATGCTGTTTGGTTCAATGACAGGAAGAGCAATTCACTGCCATGCTGAAGAGATGAGTGATGCCTTAATATGAACAGATTCTTGCATGGCACTTTGGAAGCAGCATATTTAGGCATATTGTAGCATGTATGGAAGAGAACATACAGATAAGAGTGGATGATGAAAATGCACAGAAGATAACCAAAACTGCTGTTTTCAATGGAGCATGTTATTTAATAGAGAAAATATAGAAATTTGGTGCATTATCACTTAGGAAGTAAAGGATGGAGGTAGAAATGGGCAAGGTTAAGAAACCTTCCCATAAAGCATACGTGACAGAGTTATCCACTGCAAACAGGGCATGATCCAAATACATAATATCACCCCCAGGTCAGAAACACTTTGATCAGTGTGTAAAAAGGCTAAATGGGACCCCACAAGGCTCAGCTTTACAGGACAGGACCATAAAACTACATCAAGTCTTAAGTGGATATGGAGGAAAACAGATTAGGAACACAACAAGTCAAGGAGTCTGGTCTGTGAACCTGGCTTTTCATGGTAAATTTACAATGCGGTGTGCGTCAGGTACCGAATCTCCTTGTTGATTGCGTCCAGTTGCTCCTGCAGCATCATGGCCAGAGTCTGTGCATCGGAGTGACCGCTGGGTGAGAGCAGGTCCATGGAGCTAAACAACGTTTCCCTGTCGTCGTCATCGATGTCTGACATCTCTGTGTCGCTCTCGAAGTGGTGGCCTCCCAGAACCCCCAGCTGCTGTGCACGCCATTCATGCTCCCCCAGTGACTTAGCCTGCACAAAGAGACAGGAGCCGACTATGACGACCTGACTACATGTTATATAATGTCTAGGCTTTATAGATTTAAAATTACTTGCACTACATTTTACTGTAATAAAGGTTGTTTTGGCTGAAGCCACAGATATCATTACCCTCTAAAAGTACACGTTAAATATTTCATGCATGCCTTATTATGTCTTGAAAGCATGGTGAATTTTCAATTTACATTACAGAAGACACCATCTCCCTTGGAACCATATTTGCCCCAAACAGGTACTTGAAATGAGATGTATTTAAACTCCACAACTTTTACACTCTGCACTTCCTGGACAAGAACAATCATGTACTGGGAGAAGTCAGACTGGGCTCTCCCCTCTTGGCCCATAAAAAAAAACTGTCTGCAAGTTTTAAAAGCAATGAGAAAGGCTGATCCAATTACTGAAGCCTGTCTAGACTCTCCTAGTGATAATACTTGTCTCCTATTAACAATGTATTAAACCTGCGCCGGCCCCGATGCACTAAAGTGGGAACTCTGCATGTGTCTCTGATCACCAGTATAGCAGAAATGAGATGGCCACACCAACGTATCAAATTCAATACCACATTCAAAGATCACCTTGGTTTCACGCAGACCCATTCGACCTCTCCTCGGCCGGCGGATGACCTTGGCTGAGCGGTAGTGGTCCGACTGGGTTTCAGCCAAAGACCCCAGCGAGAATCGAAGCTCAGCAGATGTGTCCAGATGAGACCTGAAAAACAGCTTTTATCACCAACGCTACAGCTGGAGCTTCCTATTCTGTGTGGCTACAATAAAACAGATTTTAGGTCTCGTATACTGGAGATAAAAAATATCCAAGACCATTAAAACCCTGTGTAATAATAACAATCCTTCAACTGTGAAGCAGATTAGAAAGATGAGACGACGTTCGGAGACAAATATTTGGGTAGTACACGGTTATGCAGACAAATCAAATCAAGCTTATCTAAGAGTGGTAAGGTATAAAGTGTACTTTCTTGAAGGAGTGTACTGCTCGCCTCTGTGGCAGCAAATTATTTGTCTGTGGAGGAGATTGAGGCTGCTACTGTCTGTACGTCACTGTAATGTCAGAACTTCACGCTGCATGAAAGGGGATCCAGAAAACACCCCAGAATAGATGCGGAGAGCTCAGTGATACCAGTGTTTTTAACAACAGCACAGAGAAAATGGTTGACAGATCAATGACAGATAAAATAACAGAAATGCTGCTACACTGGGTTTTTATTCCTGTGATATTTTGTTCCTGCTACATACACAAGTTTAGGTTGGGCCTGTTATGGTGTAGGGTCCAGTGGCCAAAAGTCATAAGTTGATTCACTGTACAAAAACACACAGTGTAGACTGTAGGTAAACCCCTAATATACCATCTCACACACACACACACACACAGCCAACCTACCTCGACAGCGTGGGTTCTGTGAGGGAGCCTGCCCTCAGTCTGAACTGATCGAGCTCCGATCTCAGTTTCTCAATCTCCTCTGCCAACTGCGACTGGATCAAACAGTTTGACAACGTGTCATTACAGGGCCTGTCTGTGATACGCCAGGGCCCCAGAATGAGGATTCCAGTGATTCACACAGGTGTCATATTAGTGCACGTCAACACATGTGAAGGGCCCCGGCTGAGAACAGGTGGGCCTGATTATCTTCACCTTACTGAATACTAACTGACAGAGTGACACTTTCAAGTGCTTTTACTGCTTGTGAAATTCATCTCATTATTCTCCCTCATTTGGGAAGTTTATGAATATTTAACAGCTGAGGCTTATAAAAAATAACTAATGCCAACAACCTACTTTGCAATAAAATACTCTATTAAGACAACTATAGACAAACTTTAGGAAATTCTAAAACAGAGCTCTCCATCAATTCTTGATCTCTGCAACCTACTTTTTCTTGGAGCGACTCCTCGTATTGTTTTCTGTAACCTTCCGAGTCCTGGATTAACAGATTCTGCAAAGATAAAAAAAAAAAAAGGAAGATGTGAGAAAATCCATCTCCTCCCATTATGCACTGGGCAGAAATGATATCACACATTTCCATTGCCACGGCAGCCATTTTTAACCTTCTCTTCTAGAGCTGCCATTCTCTCCTTCAGGTGAAGCTGGAGACGCTCGTTGGACTCTGTGAGGAGTCGGTCCACGGTGTCCGAAAGGCGCTTGTTGTGCTCTTCGTTCATCTTTTCTCTCTGTCGAGCCTGGAGGGGCAAAGTGCACAATAAAACACTTTTATCTGAACATTATTTACAAGCTTTAAAAGCTTAGGAGAGGAACAGTTGTCTGGGTTTGTGTGGATCTTGTGAGGTGCTGATGAAATTGATGTTCTTCGTCGTCTTTGCAAGTTTTTGATGATGAAATCCCATAATTCACCGGCTGTTCTTTGGAATAAATGAACTAATGATATGCACTATCTAATTTTTGCAAATGGTGCCATTTGTAATGTAAATGAGCCCCAACCATCAGTTTCAGTAGAGGTTTGGCACTAAGGTCACACACACATAGGGAAATGCCCCCTTTATTATAAAATATACAACATTTGCTGTGTTCACAGCAAATCATCTGCGAGTCTGCTGATATTTCAGAATAAAACTTTTCATGTGGTTTTGCAACATAAACTCACTGAAATTCTAAAACCTCCAGTAAATATTCTCATTAAGATATGATCCCTCTCCATTTGATCGCAATTTTTATTTTTATAGCACCTGTCTAAATAAATGTTACAAAATGTTTTACAGAATTAAGAACAAAGAAACAAATAAGTACAAATAAAATGCAGATAAAACCTCATTCAGCACTAGTGTTGAATGGCTTAAAGAATAAATAGGTTTTAACAAAGAGCAGAAAGTGACCAGGTTCGTACATGCTACAGCAAAAACCCGGTTACCCCATGATTTTAGTCTTGTTCTCAGCACCTTTAAGAGCAACTGATATTAATGGGTGACTTAAGTTATGCACACAAAGAAGCTCAGAAATATGCAGTGGTGCTAGTCCATGCACAGCTCTGAAAACAATCAGCAGTAAGATAAAAAGCAATCCTTTGCCAGTGAAGCCAGAGCAGGGTAAAACGTTCCATGTCAAGTCTGGATAGTAATGTCAGAGGTAAACCAAGATACAACACACTACAGTAGTCAGTCCTTGAACTGCTGAAAGCATGTACTCATCAAAAGAAACAAACTGAGAGCCATGATTTAATATCTCTCAGGCTTTGTTTACAGGTGCCTTTGTCTTTTTTGCACTACATGTATATGTCTACAAGTTGGGGGGAAACCATCTATGAGAACCTCTGAGATTTCAATTCTGTTTTCATTCTGTATACTTTTCTCTCTCAAGCCAAGTATTTTAGCATTTTGGGCTGACACTACTGTATGAAGTGTGACATTCATGATGCCCATGTAATATAAATAAATACATGTTTGCATTATTTGTGAGCATTTTACAAAGCATTACATCAGTGGAATGCGTGAGTTTATCTGGTCAAGATTCACTGGTGATAAATCAGACACAGAGCTATCAGTCAAGCTGTCATGCTCCTGCAGAGTGGCTGTCTGGTTAACGCTGCCTGGGACGACGCCTCCGCAGTGACTCACCCGTAGCAGCTCCTGGTTCTTCTCCTCCAGCTGGCATTCCAAGTGCCTCATTCGCTCCTCAATGCTCCCATGACGTTCTTCCGCCTACAGATGGATCACAGCATAGACAGGACACGAAAGGGCAGGATTATCTGCATGTCTGACGGCCTGAAGGGCAACAAAGAAAAGCAGTGGCGACGACACAAGCCAAAGCCTCTACCCCAAACTCAAAGATGGATATCTAGTGTTTAAAAGCAGAACTGGAGAGACAGCTGGGTGAAACAAAGAGTGACAAGAAGAAAGATGGAGAACAAGGCCAAAGGACAGAATGAAAGAGAGCTGCTCCAGCACTGCCAAGTATGAGCTCCAGCCAGAAGTGCCATGCAGCTGTCCCATGGTAATAGAACAGCCAGAGCAGAATCCCAGTCAACACGCTCGCCACAAAACACTAATAAGATAAATGAATGAAATCTGCTCTCTACAGAAGTTGGCAGCATATGTGATGCCCTGTGGGACTACCTTCCTAAGAATGGAGTTCATGTCTTGGAGCTTAGCTTCCATAACAAAGTGATAATCATCAGGGGAGGAAGAGGAGCTGGAGTCAGACTACGTGGCCGAGGAAGAGGAGAGGGACATGTTGAAACATCATGACATGACACCACGTGCACACTTACATAGAAAAGTCTACTGACGAGGGTATCTATAGGAATGTGTGCGTTCATCGTCCTACCTTGGTGAGAGCTGCTATCCTCTGAGCCAGTTCGGCCTCTACCTCCGGCAGCGTCTCAGCCTTCCTCATGGTCTGCTGGAGCTTCTGCTCTGCGAGCTCCAATCTCTCCTGTAGCTGCCGGTTCTTCTCCTCCATCTGCAAATCATCACAGAACACAAACAGCGACAACATTAGTTAATAGTCCTTTACAAAATGTATCAGGAGTTTAATGCTTTTTTAAATTCAACTGTATTCAGTTCTTTGTTGTGTGTTAAACATCTGTCAATTAAATTTACTCCTAGAGAGGTTTCAAATTAAGGGGATTAACAGAAAAGCAGAAGGGTCATAGCCGTGTTTAAATTCCATACTACACAGTACTGGTATATAACACATATTACAGTATATACAAATGCTCAGTGTCCTTTTAAGTTTTAATGTAAACAATGTGCAGCCAGCTCAACTGGCTTTACATAGAAAAACTAAATACATATTCCAAACCCTCTGAAGATCAGCGTGTAGTATAGAGTTACGATTCATCTTATACCATTTGAGGCTTTTAAAATGAAACTGTGTGGTGTTTAACAAGAAAAGAATAGATTGTCTTCTTTCAAATAAAAGCTTTATAGGGCAGGGGTTTATAGTATTTGTGTTTTGTCCCTGAGATATATTGAAATATAACAAAAAGCTCTTCCATGACTATGAATCTCTTCCTTCTTTCCCTTTTAATGTCAGCAGAGCATCATCAACTGGTAGAAAATAGAACCACCATCTTGCCAAGAAGGACTGGCTACTGAAAGCTCTGGCATGGTGCCTCAGCCCTGCCTTAAAATAGAACCACAAGTCAGAATCAGTGCACAGTCAGAATGGCTGTGCACTAGCCAGGAGTGACAGTGGCAACTTTTACTCAGCAGATACCGGTACCTGCCCTCATTAGGCATTCACATACTGTACTTGCTATTATATAGACAGAACTCAAACCCAGCATTCAGCAAAACTGCCACCAAGTGACTTGTATTTCCCTGCTGCTTAAGACTTTTCTCCCAACCTGCTCAGGGCCCTGATCACTTTTAAGACTTTTTTGAGGGCTGGTTTGGCAGCATCTCCCCTCAGTGACAGATGCTCTGCTCCCTAAAGCATCAGACCTGGCAGCTTAATAAGCAATAATTAGACTGAAGTGGGCCAGAGCTGCATTGTGTTGTGCTTGTATCGGTGATATTTTCTGTCTCACATCCCACTGGTGTTTACGATGACCCTGGGGAAAGCGTGACAGTGTTTTTGTTTGCAACACCCTCCCCAGGTGCACCTCCATCCATCTTTTTTTGCTTTTTTGGGTGCCATTTTTTCTCACCCCTTCATCCCTCTATACCAACAGCCAAGTCCACATCCCCTGAATGACTGATGTTCAAACATCAGTGGCCAGATCCCGGGGTCCAGCTGCTGGCTCAACAGAAAGTCATCTCGTTTCACAGCCAGAGAAGACATGTTTGTGTGTGGTAGCTCAAAGGCTTTAGGGGATATTTCTGCACATTTTGAGGGGGTTTCTGGATGAGAGTATTTTCTAGAATAGAGGTCACAGATATCTTGATGTGCTTATAGCTGATACTGATACTTGATAGTTGATAAATAAATGAATCATAATTTCTTAGCGTATAAGCAATTTTTGCAGCCTTTGCTTCTATGTCTCATGGTGTCTGTGTAACTATGACCTCTATTGCCCATATTAGTTTGACATTATTGTATTCTTTCAGAGCTCAGCTGCGCTCTTCCTTGTATGACCAGGCAATTTATCGAATTGGCTGCACTGAATCTAAGAATTATCAAAAGGAGGAAAAAAATGGTGCCATTGTCTCATCATACTGTACAACATCATGAGGAAGACTGGGCCATGTGCATCTGCTCAAAGTAAACATTTAAGTGAAACCAAACCATCAAAATTCCTTCCTCAGCTGTAATTTCCTCTGACATTATTTGACACAATGTCAAGAGGTTTCCTCATTGCCAGACCTCTGGGGAACAGCTCTAAGGCGCTCTGTTAACTGACAGGAACTATCTAACTTACACAACCAGCTGGATGCATTTTCACTTCTTTTCTGAATCCACTTATATTGTTGAAAAATCTCTGGCTGCTGCGAATGGTCCATTTTAGCGGCCACCTGGACCTTAAGTCTCATTGACCAAAATAAAGTGTGTAAAGTAAATCACAGAAACACAAAGCTGCTTGATTATCGTTCACTTGGACCTCACAAACCCTCCTCTGACATTACAGACCTGTCTGAGGAACGCCTCCTTATTAGCCAGCTCGTTCTCCAGCTTGTCGTTGATGTCGTGCACCGAGGTGGACTCTCGCTGGGCGCTCAGATAGCGCTTCTCCAGCGTGACGATCCGTTCCTCCATGTCCTCCTTCTGACACATGGCCTGTATGCATAAACGCAAGTTCAGACCATGCAAGAGCAGCACAATACAACAACAAAGACAAATGATTTTAAAGGTTTTGAGCCAGTGGCGGCTCATCCTCCGTTTATTTTGAGGTGTATGGAGAAGCTGATTTTGGTCACACTACTTGCAGTCATATCATCGAAGAAGATTTTTCAAATATGAATTTTGCTATTTAATATCTGTACGTGCTTGATTAATATTGGCACATAATTTAACTCTGAAACAATAATGACAAACATTTTGTGCACATGACAAGTGCACATAATAGGTTCTCATGACAGTGATTAATGCGATATGAATACAAGGCAGCAAGAAGCAAGTCCAATACCATTGTTTTAGACACAGTCCCATGAAAGCACATGCAGTTTAAAAACCACACAAACAATGACAGCTGAATAGACTGTTGTTCTCTGAAGAGGCAGTGCAGGGTCACAACACTATCGGTCCGATAAGGACATCTGCCAGGCCGCAATCACTGCCTAGGCCTGCATCCTTTGCAATCAATAGCAATTTCGGCTGAGAGCCATAAGGGCCTCAGCCTATATTCATATCCAGTTCACCTCACACAGATACTGCATATATTAAATACGCCCTGACTGGGCTCTTAATTGCCAATTTATGACACAAACATTCTCATTTCTCCAGGAAAGTGGCTTTTAACTGGCTGGTTGTGTGTCGACACTCGGCCTTGAAGCAGTTTCAGGCACAATCAGTGGCAGATGCAGAGGCAGCTGCTTGTTTCACTTGGAGGGTTTTTATTTGTGACAATATAAAGTGTATTTTTAGATTGTGATTGTTCGACCGTGTAGAAAAGCATGTAGCCATGTTAGTAAAGGCCTTTTATCTGCACTCTACCCTGAACTGTGCAAGTATTTGTGTGTGAGAGACAGAGGGAGGGAGAGCAAGGGTGTATGCTGATGGGAGCTTTTTTTGGTGCACTGCTAGTCTTTGATGTCTCTTGGAAATGTGCATGCTTCTCCCTGTCCCCTTTGTGTGTGTGTGTGTGTGTGTGTGTGTGTGTGTGTGTGTGTGCTGTAACCTCTTTGATGTCTCTCTGGTACTTGTTGTTCATCTCTTCGGACTTGATGAGATCTTTGCGGGCAGTCTCCAGCTCCTGCTCAACCTCAGACACCCGGGAGGAGAGGGAGGACATGCGCTCCTTCATCTGGGCCAGTTCGTAGTTTTGCTTCTCCAGCAGGTCCTGCAGCTCCACCACCTGGCTCGCTTCGTGGGCCGACTCCAGAGACCCGTTGGACAGACGCTAGGGGAGAGAAGCAAAGGAGGAAGAGCATCTTGAGCTGCAGGTTGACAACAAAATCCATCTTCATGTCTCTTCTTAAAGGGATGTGAAAAAGGAAACGACATGGAGGAAAAGGTCGCTAGCTAGGATGCAAGCCTTTCTTTCAGGGAAACTCCCCTGGAAATTTACAAGTGCTTATAAACTAAACACGACTATTTGTTTGATTTCCTGCCTAGAGTCAGAATAAATATCAAGATACCACCAGCAAGTGGGTATCTTATTTTAGCATAAAGCCTAGCAGTAGAAGGGAAAGGCTAGTCTTGATTTGTTCAAAGGTAACAAACTCTCTTTACCTCTAATGTCACTAATTAACTTGCTATACTGTACAGTCACAGGAGTTTTACATACATTAAATTCAGTGAGTTAT